GCTGGCTGAGGAATTCTGGGAGTTGAAGTCCACAAGTCTTAAAGTTGCCAAGGTTGGACACCCCTGATCTACATTTTCTTCTTTTGCCTTTTACAGGTGGTCCTTTACTTACGACCACAGTTGAGCCCAAATTTTCTGTTGCTAGGTCAGACAGTTGCTAAGCGAATTACGCCTTTTACGAGCTTTCTTCCCACCCGTTGTTCAGTGAATCACTGCAGTTCAATTAGTAACATGGTTGTTAAGTAAATCTGGCTGCCCCGTTGACTCTGCTTGCGGGAAGGTCGCAAAAGGGAATCGCATGATCCCAAGACATTGCAGCCCTCATAAATACGAGTCAGTTGCCTAGCCTAGAAGTTTGAACACCTGACTTAGGGGATGATGCAGTAACAGTGAAAATAGATCTCTTAAGTTGCACTTTTCAGCGCCGTTGTAACTTTGAACGGGGACTATATGAACTGTTGTAAGCCAAGTTCCACCTGTACTAGATTAGCCTACACCACAGGTGTCAAACTCAAGGCCTGAGGGCCAAATCCGACCTGCGGGGTACTTAGATCTGGCCCACAGGGCCGACCTGGAAACAGTGAAGAACCGGCCCGCGGTGCCTCTGCCAGCAAAAACGGAGCTCGGGAGGGCTCCGTTTTTGCTGGCAGAGGGTTGCGGGATATCATCCCAGCTGAAAACGGAGCTCAGGAGCCCATTTTCATTGGCAGAGCGTTGTGCCCCCTCGACACAAGCTGGCCACACGTGACACCCTGGGGCCCTGGATATCAAACACAACCCTTGACGTGGCCCACAGTGAAATTTAGTTTGACAGCTCTGGCCTACACGATGGAAGGTAGCCTGAGAGAAGAGAAGTTCAGTCAGTCATCTCCAAACTGGTTGCTATGAGTCCATTGCTTTCTCTGGCTTTTGTTGACAACATAAAACTCCTCGTCCTCTTGATGGATCTAGTCCTGTGAACGTACTTAACGGGGTCTTTTCTCCTTTGCCAGCCCAACATCGTGGTGCTAAGGGACAGGATCTGCAAAGCGCAGGGGGAGCTTTCCGGGGGCTCAGAGGCACCCCCAGCACCCTACGAGAGGCAACCAGCAGCCAAGGGGAGGAGCGGCCCTGCTGCTGGTCAAATGCCGCAAAACCCAACTCCGCAATATTATCAGCAGGTAAAAGGCTCTTTCAGCTACCGCCCTTACGTTGGTGGTTGCAGCATTTTAGTGTTTCTGCATGATGTTCCGCTCAAAATTACCCAGAAGTGTGCCTTGAAAACTCTTTTGAGGAAGAGCTTGTTGTTCTACTTTCATTTTGGGAAGAGGTTCCTTGTCCTCTCGTTCCAGAGATATTTTTGGAAATCATGCCTAGTTAAGCTGCTGGAAGTTTCGTGCAGTAGCTAGTCAAGGTTTTTCTAATTTGAAAGGCTCTTGGGAAGGCTGATGTATTTTGCCCCCAGCTAATGTCTGCAAAGAGCTCTCCCTTCTCCGTTTCTTGCTTTAATTTCCACTCTGGATCTTGAGTTTTAATAAAGCTTAGTCAGTCAGTCATTTCTAGTAGACACTTTGCCCCCAAAACGTTATAGCAGGTCACTTGGCTCAACTTTTTTTCTCCTGGAGACTTTCTAGATCAGAGGCCTCCAACCATGGCAACTTTAAGACTTGTGGACTTGGCCCAAAGGTGTTTTTTTTTCAAGAGGCAACTGAACTGTCTGGTTTTTCTTTGAAGATGGTTTGCTTCTCATCCAAGAAGCTTCTTCAGGTCTGGCTGGATGTTGGGGAATGGAAGGATTTATACTCCTTGCAGGCAGCTGGTCATTTGCATTCTTTTAGCGAGTCATTAAGGCCGCCTGGAGGTTTATCTGGGTCATCCAAGTCCTCCATCGACTTGTGGACTTCATCCTGAGTGGTGCAAATGGACGTGGAGCCTTCTTGGAACTGTTGAAAGAACTGTGTTGTAGGCTGGATCATCTATCAATTTATCTCCAGTCTATAACACAGTCCTTTCATCAGTTCCAAGAAGGCTCCACACCCATTTTCAGTACTCAGATGACCCTGAACCTCCAAGTGGCCTCAATCATCTCCATCTTTTAATGACCTCATAATCCCTTGCAGGGTGGCATCTGGGCAACTGAATGGAGCTGGTAGAGTGTTTAATGGCCGGATGCCCTTCCTGTCGCCAGTGCCGAGTGTTGTTCAGCAGATATATTCTCAGTGTGCCCAGAGAGAGAACTCTCTGCCTCTACCTAGGATCAAACTCACAGCCTCCTGATCGTGAGGCAAGAGCTCCATCCAGGTGGTCTCAACAACTCTAAAAGGATGCAAATGACCAGCTATCTGCAAGGAATATAAATCCTTCCACTCCCCACCATCCAGTCAGAGCTGAAGAAGCTTCTTGGATGAGAACTAAAATGTCTTCAAAGAAAAAAACGACCAACCGGTTGCCTCCTGGAAAAGCACCTTTGGGACAACCATGACCTGGAGGACTGAGAATCTCCATCGACTGATGGACTTCAACTCCCAGAATTCCTCAGCCAGCCATGGCTGCCTGAGGAATTCTGGGAGATGAAGTCCACAAGTCTTAAAGTTGTCAAGAACGGACACCTTTGTTCTGGATAGAATGCAGTTCCCATTATCCCCTGAGAACAGACTGAAGTTAACGAATATTACACAGACCTGTAAATCGGGGTCCCCAACCACCACCACCCAGTCCATAGCCTGGTACCAGGCCGCGGGACTGTTTGAAACCAGGTTGTGCGAGGAGAGGGCGAATGGGCAAGCGGATGAAGCTGCTTTGTGCAAGTGGCCCACGTGTGTGTGAGAAACCACCCCCTCTCTCCCCCTCCCCTCCCCTCTCCCTGCCCTTCCCCCGCCCGCCCCAACCTGAAAGGTTTGGGACCATTGCTATAAATAATCTCTCTGTGGCACCCAAACCAAAAAAAAAAAGGCTCATAAACCAAAAAGGGGACGAATGTTCTTGTGTGTTTATTGTCGATCAACATTCCAATAGGTTTCTTTCTGTGAGCTGATTATGAAGCTGTTTTATGGGCATGTAGAACGAAAGCTACAGTATTTCCTATTGATTCCTTCCCCCCTAATAAATTGGGCTTGGTTGTGGTATTGATTCCGGAGAAGCATCCTCATTCTCCTTCCTCATTCACATCCAGGCATTGATGTGGGCATAAGACAGAAGCCCTATCCAGCGTCCTACATCAATTTGGAACAGCAGTTTGACCCCAGTCTCTGTTGGGGTCCAAATAGTGAGTGGTGGAGCTGTTAAGGTGCTATCTGGCTGACCCCTGACCAAGACTTAAAGGTCCTATTTTACTTCTTAAAATCCCCTCAAATAAAAAGAAAACAGTTTTGCCTCCATGTGTACTCTAACATTATCTGATTATCTCAACCTGCTTCCATATAAAGTCCCTTAGTCTTTCTTAAAACTAAAACTAAGGAGAAATTTTCTGACAATTAGAATCATTATTCAGTGGAACCCACAACTCCAGAAGTTGTGGGTGCTTCAACGCTGGAGGTTTTCAAGGAGAGATATTTCAGACTATTGGTCTGAAATGGCATACGGTTTCCTTCTTAAGCAGAGGGTTGGAAGAAGAAGGGATCTCTAAGGTCCCTTCCAACTCGGTTATTCTTTTGCATTCTTTTGCCTGTGAGGAAGCGTCCCACCCCCCCCTGGTTATCCATGTTCCTTCCCTCTGTCCCCTTCCTCCATTGACTTTCTTAACTGAGTTGCACCCTTTGATCAAGAAATCAAAAAACTCAGCTTGCAGAAGACTTACGATTCTTGCAAGCAAATGAAATGTAACAGAGTTTGCAGCAGCTCTATGGAGAGGAAGAACCAACCTTGTTCCAGCCTTGTTCTATCAGCCTATGGCTGCAGGAAGAACCTATAATACTGATTGAAGAGAATATTTGTGGCTCAGGATTAAACCAAGAGAACTTTGGTGCTTAGTGATTTTCTTGCAGACATTTCATTACCAAACTAGGTAGTGGTAGTGAAGGTAGGGTTTGCACTGATGATGTTACCTAGTTTGGTAATGAAACATCAGCAAGAAAACCACCAAGCTCAGAGAACACTCTGAAGGACCCCACAATTACATATTAATCCAGCAATCAGTTTTTAAAGGTGGTCTCTTAATTAATAGCAGACCAAAAGCCAGCAGAATATAATTAATTACTGATGGGAGTCATCTGGTTATTGGAATATGAGAAAGACAAAGAAAGGGACAATCTGAACATTTAATCATACAGAATAAATTCTGGGTAACTCAGAATATATTATTTTGCTAAGGACTGGTTTGGTTGGCAAAATAAATGTCCATAAAGGTAAGGTGGGCAACCTTTGATGCCCTCTTAATGTTTTCTGTGAGGTGGTACCTAGAATGGGTGTTGCAGTGATGGAGAATGTGGAGGCTGTGTCAGGCAGATAAACAGGTCAGGATATTCCCCCACCCCCACCCGCACCCCGTTTTTGGGTGGGGTGGGATAGGGGATTAGATTTTATTCTTCTTTAACTGTGCAAAGCCTCGTTTTAGAGTTTGTTGTAGTGTTCTTGTGCTTCCCACCACAAGATGGAACCAGTGGAATGTTGTAGGTGGTCCATCACTGGAGGCTTTTAAGAAGAGACTGGACAGACAGGCATAGGGTTTCCTGCCGAAGCAAGGGGTTGGACTAGATGACTTCCAAGGCCCCTACCAATCTGTTATTCTATGCTCTACCGCGGGAAAGACTCAATTTTAATCAAGTCAAATGCTGGATTTTGACAAGGCTTCTGCATTCTGTCAGTGGTCCCATTATGTCTATTTTTACATCACTAGTCTGCATGTGAAACATCCACAGCACTGTAGGAAATATCATCTGACAGAAGAGGGGAAATGTGCTTAGTTTCTGAAAATGGATAGGTTTGAGTTTTGTCTTTAGTCCTGGAGAACAAACATAACATAACCACTTGGTCTTAAGTTGCACCCATATGTTTCCCCCTTGCCTGTTTTAATTATCTAACCTCATTTAGCAACTTGAATCAAACATAATAGCTTTTTTCACCTGTCCCATGTCTTAATACCAAATTTCCAGTCCAGCAACTGTAGTGGACATAAAACAGTCTGTCTTGCATGAACCTTTGCTGTACCTTTTCTCAGATATATATATGTGTGTGTATATATATATATATATATATATCACAATACTATGTATTAGGCCCTGCATTAAAGTCTCACAACAGAAGATGCTTTCCAAAGAAAGCGTGGAAAGATACCTGTTTCACATTTTTGTTTTTACATTGGTAAGACATTCCTGTCTAATTCTCTTTGTGTGTTATTCAGCATGACAGTTCTAGCTTTGCTGCTTACCTTTTGTCAGCGGAGGAAAAATGCATGAGCTGCAAACAGTATAAACTTCTAGCATTTGTGGCATGAATATTTACTCTTTTAAGAGTTGGCAGTTCTGGTAAATACTAGCTGCTTGCAGGTCTATTCAGTCCCTCCGTTCGTTTCCTTGTTTGCTGCTTGTTTCTTTGCATGGATGACACCCATTATTATAAATGACTTGAAAAGTGTCTTAGTGCTCATTCCTGAGCAGTCTGGCTGTCTGAAACGTTTTTGGCTTTATCACTTTCCTTTTATTTTTATTTTATTTTTTTATTTTTCCATGATTGGTATCTCTCTGTTCAATTCAGGTTAGAATTGCCCCTACCGTTACTACCTGGAGTAACAAAAACCCCACTGCCCTTCCCAGCTTTCCTGCAGCCTCTCCCTCTGAGACACAGGTATAACATTCATTATTCCTCTTTGAGCAGAACCTGCTCTCCTCCTGTAGACCTCACGCCATGTTCCTTGGCACTCTTTCCCCTTCTTTTTAAAAGCACCCTGTTAATAATTCCCCGTGCGTTCTCGGCCAATCTGGGAAGCGGTTTCAGACTTTTCAGCTTATCCTGGGTTTCGCCATCCTTTGTGCCATCCCGAATATTGCTCTGTTTTAAGATAACTTGCTGAATGTCAGATAATCGATGGCTTTGAAACCATCCCCGGGTATTTTTTTAAAAAATTTGTTTCCCAGGAGATCCTGAATTATCTCGCCATCCTTTCCCAACCCCCCCCCCCCCCGATTGCTTGAAATGGGGTCCCCGTTTATAAAATGGTATAAAAGTCTTGAAACGGATCCATTTCGCCCTCCCTGGCCAACACCGTAAATCAATTCAAAATGCATTCAGTAATGTTGCTGCTGGAGACTACCGTAAGCTTCTTGGTAAATCACAACCTGAATGCTTTAGATCCAAAAATCCTTGTCATAATGCAATAGTAGAAAGGAACGATGTGGGAGCTGAGATCAGAACATTTCACTTCCGTAACAGGTCTTCCGCTGGGCTCCCCCATCAAGACGTAACTTCTCTGTTTCTCGCTCCCCTCTCCCATTTCTTCTCCAGAGAGAGAACCCACCTCCTCCTCCAGGGTTTATTATGCAAAAGGACATGAACCCCCACATGCCACCGCATCAGCCTGCCCATCCCGATTACAATATGTACACAAGACAACCATGCCCACAACGTAAGTAGCCACCATCTTCTCTGGACGTCGCGTTGCTGGATTCCTTCAAATGACTCGGCAGATATGGGATAATCGAAGGCTTTTGTTTTTCCTCAAAGCTAACCCCTCTCTCTAAAGAAAGCATCATCCGGTGCCAACCTCCAGTGTAATCTAAGATAACTGTAGTATGATGTGTAAGAAAGCTAGCCATTTCTCTTCTCCAAGAAAATGGAGGAACAGGGAGATCATGGGTCTTGATTTATTCTAAAAAGAGAGCTTTCCCGACATCTCGTTTGTCTTTTCTGTGTTACTATTGGTATTCTTTAAAAGTGTTATTATCTGGAATAGAGAAGCGAACAAGGATAAATTGTCGCAGCTTCTGTTACAATGCATTGCCCCTTTTAGGGATAAAACAATTCTGTTTCTTGGGCACCGCTTAGGCCAGGGGTTGTCAAACTCAAGACCCGCGGGCCAGATGTGGCCCATAGAATGCTTAGATCTGAAGAAGGAGAAGAAGAAGAACTTTATTGTCATTGTACAAGTACAACGAAACTGTGGATGCACCCCAGCAACTATTCGCAATACAGTGAAACCAAAGCACTTAAAAAGGAAGATAAGAAAAATGGAGTTCCCACGTCTCCATTTGCAATTAGAGAATGCAATATCTACAATATAATATACACAAAATAGACATCCAACATAAGAGCAAAGAACTGGCCTGTGATGCCTCTGCCAGTGAAAACAGAGCTTGGGGGAGCCATGCATGCCACCCCAAAGTTCGGTGTTCACTGGCAGAGGGCTGCAGGCAGCTGTCACAGCCAAAAATGGGGTCCGGGTGGGGGGCGTGCCCACAAGCTCCATTTTCTCGGGCAAAGGGCTAGCAAAACAAACTAAAAACAAAACAAAAGAAGTGTTTCCCCTTTTGCATTTGAGCATGTAAGAAGGGGTAGGAAAGGAGGAAGGGAAAGGAAAGACAAAGAAAAGGAAGGGAAGATGGGAAGAGAGAAGGAAGGAAACCTAAAGAAAAAGGGGAAAGAAAAAGAAAGGCAAACAAAGAGGAAAGGAAAAAGAAGGAAGGGAGGAAGGGAAGGAAGGAAGGAAGGAAGGAACTATAATGAGAGTGAGGGAGGGTCTCAGGGAAGTCCTGCCTTAGCACTTGGCCGCCACAATTACCCCCAACAAGAGTGACATTGAGCTGCCCACGCCCACTATGCCCCCCCCACCCTCTGAGGTCAAACACAACCCTGATGTGCCCCTCAATGAAATCGAGTTTGACACCCCTGGCTTAGATGGTGAAAGAGACCTAAATATTCTGCTGTGGCCTTCCCTGTCAACAGAGTAAGTCAGCCTTTTTCAACTCTGGCAACTTTTAAGATGTGCGGACCAATTCCCAGAATTCCCCAGCCAGCAATGCCACCCGAAGGGCACCAGGAAATTACTACGTTCTATGCCAGCTTCTGAACACTCTTCAAGGGTAGCTCCATGTACAGTGCAGATGCTGCCTTGCCCCGGTGGCCCGTCCTTTGTGGTCTCTGACTGAGCTGGAATTCGGCCCAGATTTTTCCTTCTCTCCTGTTTTGGATATATTGCACTAGGTTATTTGTAGCTCTAGTTGCTTGATTTCTCCCAGGGCATCTTAGAGGCATTAAGAAAAATGAATATAGATTTTGCAGTCAGAGAGCTGCTGCAGTTTAGTGAGAATTCATATGATTTCCTTTTTTTTCTTTTTTCCTCTCTTTCCCCTCAGCCTAATCAATAACTAGTATAACAATTCTTCACAGCCTAGCAATTTCTATTCTGGGCAAAATACTTTGTGCTTTTAGGCTGACTGATTGTACTTCCAGCTTTCATTATCGCATTTCAAAGTGGGGGGAAAAACGGCACTTGGATGATTAATATCTTTTTCTAAATTGAAAAGTAAGTTCTGCCTTGTTTGTATGTGGATGTTTTAATTTGTTCTAAAGCTTCCTTCTGGTGGTTTTTCACCATTAAAACATAAACTTGTCCAGAGGTCTCTACAGGTCGCCCTCGACTTACGACCACAATGGATCTCAAAATTTCTGTTGCTAAGCAAGGCAGTTGTTAAGTGAGTTATGCTTCATTTTATAACCTTTTTGCCATAGTCGTTAAAGGAGTGAATCTGGCTCCCCCCCCCCATTGATTTGGCCTGTTGGAAGACAGCTGGGAAGGTTACAAATGCTGATCACATGACCCTGGGACAGTGCAACAATCATAAGTACATGCCAGTTGCCAAGTGCCTGGATGTGATGACCTGGGACAAGGCATAAAGGTCACACAGCTAGCTGGGAATTCAAACTCCCCTTTAATGCTCCACATTTCTCCTCAAACGCTCCCACGTTCTGGACAAGTCTTAGAGCAAAGCACACATGCGCGCGCGCGCACACACACACACACACACAGAGGGAGAGGGAGGGAGACAGGAAGGAAGAAGCAGGCAGTCCTGCAAACTCCAAATATCTGTACTGGCATACAAAACTCCACTAATTCAGCATTTGTACCCGAGAAACGCTGCCTCCCCACAGGAGGCAGTCCCCAGTTGTGCCTGGTGAAGAGGGGCGGGACACTCTCCTCCCAAGTCGTTGGGTCAGCCTGCGCTGTTCCCGCCTCCTCTCCACTCTCCGTGCTCGGGGATCAGCAGGGGGCGTCCTGGCACATCGCCTGAGCTCCGTCGCTCCTCATGTCCACTGCTTGCCCTCTTTCAGTCCTGCCTCCATTCCTCCCTGCTAACAAGCCATTCCAATCCTGAGGGGCCCCGGGATGCCTTGGCCTGCTCCTCCCCACATTCCTCCAAAGCCAACGAAGCTGCCCTCCTTGATCTCTGTGGGTTCCGGCTCATAGTCCTCCTCTGCAGATTCAGTGGGCATCACACCGTATTTTGATCATGTGACCATGGATACTGCAACAGTAGTGTGAAAGTCACTACTGATAGGTCACTTTTTTCAGCGCCATGGTCACTTCAACTGGTCACCGGGCGAACGGGGTGCAAGTCGAAGATTACCTGTCATCTGAAAGAATTGCAGATACAGGCAGTCCTCGACTTATAACAATTCATTTAGGGACCGTTTGAAGTTAGAACAGTGTGGAAAAAAAGTGACTGATGCCCATCTTTCACACTTATGACCGGTGTATCATCCCTGTGATCACGTGATTTACATTTGGACACTTGGCATCTGACTCGTATTTATGATGGTTGCAGTGTCCCGGGGTGACGTGATCCCCTTTTTTGCGACCTCCTGACGAGCAAAGTCAACGGGGAAGCCCAGATTCACTTAACAGCCGTGTTACTAACTTAAGAACGGCGGTGATTCGCTTAACAGGGGTGAGCAAGGGTGAATGCAGCCTGGCTGGAGCATTGGTGAGAGCCACACCTAGAGTACTGCATCCAGTTTTGGTCACCACATTATAAAAAGGATGTTGAGACTCTAGAAAAAGTACAGAGAAGAGCGACCAGGATGATTAAGGGACTGGAGGCTAAAACATAGGAAGAACGGTTGTAGGAACTGGGCTTGGCTAGTCTAGTAAAGAGAAGGACCAGGGGAGACATGATAGCGGTCTTCCAATATTTGAGGGGCTGCCACAGAGAGGAAGGGGTCAAACTATTCTCCAAAGCACCTGAAGGCCAGAAAAGGAATAATGGATGGAAACTGAACAAGGAGAGATTTAACCTGAAAATAAGGAGAAACTTTCTGACAGAACAATCAACCAATGGAACAGAAGTTGCCCTTGGAAGTTGTGGGAGCGCCATCGCTTGAGACTTTCAAGAAGAGATTGGACTGCCATTTGTCAGAAATGGTGTAAGGTCTCCCGCGTGGGGGGGGGGGGGGGGGTTGGACTAGATGACCTATAAGGTCCCTTCCAACTCTGATTATCTGTTAACTCACCAGTGTGCTAAGGGACAGACGAATGTCATCCTGTCTTAAATCTAAGATTTACAAGACAACCATCCGCCCTGTTGCACTTAATGCTGGGCAGCAACAACAGGGACCGGAAGCTCTCTCCATGCCATGGAAACGCGAAGGCTCCATTGGATATCGGGCATCTCCCATCTCGACCACATCACAAATGACACCATTCGACATCCTTTTGGTGTGGCACCAGTTACAGAAAAGTTGAGGCTCCGCTGGGATGGACGTGTCCACAGAGCAGCACCTTCCACCGTGGCCAAGATTGCTTACCAAGTAGAAGCCAATGGCTGGCGACCTCACAGGCGCTCAAAACACAGACACCATCAGCAAAGATACACAATCGGCGGGCCAGTGCCCTCAAGACGCGGCTGACCATGCAAAGTGGTGTTCAGTGATCCAAAAAGCAGACCCCGCAACTGTGGGAATATGCTAGGAAGAAGAAGAAGTAGTGATTTGCTTGACAAATGTGAGAAAAGTCATAAAATGGGGCAAAATGCACTTAAATTTCTCACTTAACGACACCAATTTGGGGCTGAATTGTGATCGTAAGTCGAGGACTACCTGTATTTATAAATCCCTTTTTCCGGTGGCGTTATGACTTCAAATGGTGGACTAGGCCAAAGGGTGCAAGCCGAAGACTACCTATCGTCTTAAAGAATTGCAAATAGTAGCTAGCGAGTTTTTCTTACTAACGTTGTTCTTTTTTCCTTCTCCAATGTAGCTTGTCAGCCACCCCAACCGTATTCTTTTCGACCGTCACACTATCAGCCGCAACAGCCTCCTCTTGCTCCTCCTACTTCGACCGCTTACCCTACCTCTAACCCGCCTTACATGCCCTCTAACCCTGCCGGTGCCATGCCTCCCCCCTTATACTCCTCCCAGCCGCAGGCCTCTCCAACCAGCTTGAATCCAAGTCCTTCTCTTCCTCCTCCCCCTGCCTCCTTCCAGCATGGCCGGCCAGGAGCTCCACCATCTTCTCTGCCGTCGTATGCATTGCCTCCTGGACCAACAGGTACAGAGACCGCGACCAGTGAGTTGGCTGCTTCCCAAAGAACAGGTCTGCGCTTAAAAGGGCTGTGGGTTTTTTTTGCATTGCATATTGAGACAGGGTGTTTTTTTATATTCTTCTTATTATTATTAATGTTGCATGTGTGTGCGGTGATCTTGTCTTGCGGTTTGACGCAGCATTTTGACAGTTGCAGAGTGCTTACCCCTCTTTGCATGTCGCCTAGCACCCCAGACTTCCTCACGTCCTGTTCAGAGCAATGAAGACAACAGATTTGTGGCCCCTCTTTAAGCTAGGGTGCAATTGGCATTCCTCCCTGTTTCTTTATGGAGGGGGTGGGTGGGGGTGTCAAACAGGATTTCTTAGAGGGGCCGATTCGCATTGTGGTTCTCCACTGGCTGGCGGGGGGGGGAGGGCGGGGGCAGGGAGCAAGATGGGATTGCAGCATTTTGCCGGCCAAAAATGACCCAGTGCCTCTGCCGTCCAAAACAGGTTGCAGAGGGAGGGTGCCTGTGCCTCCCGCACGGCCCATTTTGGGCCTCCTGCAGCACACGGCCAGCCAAAAACAGGCCATGTGGAGGCCTCGTGAGCCCCCCCCCCCGCCCCCCCGTCTTGTTTTCAGCCTCCCCGGCCTCCAGTAGCACTCTTCTGGCCAAAAACGACTCGGTGGCTTCTGTTGGCCAAAATGGGGTTGCAGGGAGGAGCAGTGTGCAGCGCTTGCATGGCCCATTTTCAGCCTCCAGCACTTTGCCAGCCCAAAAAGGGGCACGCGGAGGCCTTGTGACGTTCCCACACACCTCATTCTCGGCCTCCCGACCCAGAGTGCTGCTGGCAGGAATAGCTAACACCCAAGAAGACAGGCTCAATATTCATATGGATCTTGACAGACTAGAACACTGGGCCATATCTAACAAAATGAAATTCAGTGTAGAGAAAAGTAAAGTCCCACACTTAGGCAAGAAAAACCAAAAGTACACATATAGACTGGGTGAAACCAGGCTCAATAGCAGTAACCGTGAGAGGGATCTTAGAGTCTTAGTGGACAACCAGCTAAATAGGAGCCAGCAGTGTGCAGCAGCAGCCAAAAAAGCTAATGCAATCCCAAGTTGCATTAACAGAGGGATACAATTGAGATCAAGTGAGGTACTAATACCACTCAACAAAGCCTTAGTAAGACCACACCTAGAGTACTGCACCCAGTTTTGGTCACCACACTATAAAAAAGATGTTGAGACTATAGAAAAAGTAGAGAGAAGAGCAACCAGGATGATTAGGGGACTGGAGGCTAAAACATATGAAGAACGGTTACAGGAACTGGGCCTGGCTAGTCTAGTGAAGAGAAGGACCAGGGGAGACAGGATAGCAGTCTTCCAATATCTGAGGGGCTGCCACAGAGAGGAAGCAGGAGTCAAGCTATTCTCCAAAGCACCCGAAGGCCAGACAAGGAATAATGGATGGAAACTGATCAAGGAGAGATTCAACCTAGAAATAAGGAGAAACTTTCTGACAGTGAGAACAATCAACCAATGGAACAGAAGTTGCCCCCAGAAATTGTGGGAGCACCATCACTGGAAGCTTTCAAGAAGTTATTGGACTGCCATTTGTCAGAAATGGTGTAGGGTCTCCCGCTTGGGCGGGGGGTTGGACTAGATGACCTATAAGGTCCCTTCCAACTCTGATTATCTGTTATGTGTTAAGGATCTGCTGGAGGCCGGGGAGGCCGAAAACAGGCCGTGCGGGAGCTGCATTTCCCCCCCACCCCCGGCCGCAGCTCGTTTTGGCCGGCAGAGGCACCAGGGCCTGTCCTTTGATGTTCCCAGGCCAGATTTAAGCATCCTATGGGCCGGATCCAGCCCACGGGCCTTGACAGCCCTGCTTTATGGGATAATTAGGAAAAGCAGCTTCCATTAACTTTATTGGTTAAAAAGGCACCATACAGTTGCTCACCAAAAGACAGCCCGCCTGTTTGTGCCTGTCAGAAGGAATTGGCAGCTCTGAATCGGCAGCGTGTAGGAGCAGCAAGCTGTTTGGTTCAAGAGACTGGGGAAGAAGAGAATCTGGCTCTTTTGTCTATTTTGGTTCTGTCCCAGGGTTGTTTAGCTATTGTTTGCAATCTGTGACTCACCAGCCATGAATCCTTGCTGTGACATTAGCGTGCTGCTCTTTTTATTTACTGACATGTTTATTCTCATCCTTCCTTCCAAGAAGTTTGGAGCGCTTATGTAAATGTCTTTCGCCAACCTCAAGAGAATTGAACCAAACCATGACCTGGTAGCTGATTTCTTGCGTTGTGCCAAGCCAGGGTTTTATTTTAACCAGGATCTGGTGTCAGAGCCAGTATGATCGGTTTCACAACTGCTTCAGTATGATGTGTGAATCCAGCACGCAACCAACCTCATAGAACAGGGGCTTCCACACTTGGCAACTTTACGACTTGTGGACTTCAACTCCCAGAATTCCCCGGCCAGCATCGGAGTTGAAGTCCACAAGCCTGGAGACTCCTGACCTTAGAATGTAACAACTTCACATCTGACTGGGATATGGAGGCAGGTTCCTTCACATCCATGTCTAAACACTAGACTTTTCTGAACTTCCAAAATCTTATCTCTTTATGGGTTCTTGGAATGGCATTCTTGGTGCACCTTATTTTTATGCTTCTACCCATGCTCCTTCTCCTGCTGCTCTGGCTGGGAGTGATGGGAATTGTAATCCCAACTTATCTACGGTAGAAGGCACAAAGTTGTTGTTTTTCAATTGGCAGAAAGTGTATGCACTTTCTTGAAGCCACTTGGCTTTGGCCGTTTTTGGAGAATGCTGCAGTTTTCTGCTGCATTTTATGAGAGAGACCACTGGAGGGCAAAGATGTGATGTTTGACAAGGGGGTGGGGCAGTGTTTTTAAATGTTATTCTGAGAGTACTCCTTTTTTTCATACCTGTTTTAGGTATGAAAAATGTTATTTGACATCTTAGCATCTCTTCTCTCCCCACCCACCCCCACCCCCGCCCGCTTTTCAGAAACAAATTTTCCAAAAACTAGCAAGAAATCAGTTAGGATTTAATCCAAAGGTACTTTTTTTTTCAAGAGACAACTGGATTTTCGGTTTTTTCTCTGAAGACTTTTTGCTTCTCATCTAAGAAGCTTCTTCAGCTCTCAAGAAGCTTCTTGGATGAGAAGCTTCGCTTCAAGCGGAAGAAGCTTCTTGGATGAGAAGCGAAATGTAGGCAGTCCAGCTGCCTCTTGAAAAAGCACCGTTGGGACAATCATGATCTGGATGACTGAGAATCTCCACAGATAGTTAGGATTTAGTAACTTGCCCTTCCCACTTCAGCAGTGTAATCTGATTCAGGGGTCTTCCAACCCACAGACCGCAGCCCAGTGCCAGGCCTTAGCCTGTTTGAAACCGGGCTGCAGAAGCACGAAGCTGCATTTACGAAAGTGGCGCATGCTCACAAAACCATCCTCTCTCTCCACTCTGCCTCCTTGCCAATCCGCCAAGCTGCAAAGGCTGGGAGTGGATCTGATCTAATGGATTCTATAGCGTTAAGTGATTTCAGAGTCATGTTTGGCCCACCTCTCTGAAATCTGGCCTATTTATTTTTTCAAATGTCGTAATTCCAACCAATGACCCACTCTCAATCCATTTGGAAGTGTCTGCCCTTCCAGTTGCAAAGCAGTTGAGAAAAGCCATTTAAACCAGAGGCCCCCAACCTTTGGGCACCAGGGACTGGTTACATGGAGAGAGTTTTTGTCGTGGACCAGAAGGGGTGTGGTCTCATGTGCTACCAGCATATGGCGGATGGAGCTTCGCTGGTTTGTGGGACCCAGTTACTGGCCTGCCCTGGACTGGTGCCAGTCCATGGACTAGGGACTAAGAACCTCTGATTTAAGAAATGCAGTTTCCCCCCCAGGGTCTGAACAGAAGCGCGTGTGCATGATAAAACATCTGCTGCTCTTAAGTTAAGCATGGCATAGACAAGGTGTGGCTTTAAAAAACAAGCTTTTAAAATCTTTTTAACCTTGCTTTTATTCCTCTTTTCTCCCCTTTGGTCTTGGGCACACTTTAATGCATTAATAATAGACCTGTTCCTTTACTGATGTAATTTAATATTCCCTCATTTTTTAAAAAGGATAATACCCTAAATGGAAAGTGAGGAGGGCTTGATTTATCAGTGGGAAAAGATTTCCTCTGTCTGTCTATTAGAGTGGAGGCTTAGTTGAGATGTTGCCACTTCCACAAGTGCCTTTGTAAGGATTTAAGATGGTTGCCCTTTCCTGGAAGGAAAACGATTAGGATGCTTCGCAAATTCACTGTCAGGACGAATTGTTCCCAGGCTGTAAACTCACAATCTATATCCTGCCCAGCTTCAATTACTGGGAATTGAAGTCTGACCTTAGTCATCCTGTTTCAACCTGCAGACTCTTCTTAAGACAGAAGACTTGGCTAAGGCAGATACTTCCCTATTCAAAGCTGTATATATAACCCTGAATTTATTTACCTGGAAGTAAGTTCCGATGAAAGCGGTAGAACTTACGTCCATATCAATACACATGGAGCTGTATTGTTGGCAGATCCACCCAACACCTAAAAGGAATTGATTTATAAATGGCTCAAGAGTGAATCACCAAGTCTAGTAGACCAAATCATTGCATGATCCTGTTGTCCTTGCTTCTTACCTGCCATGAAGCAGTTGTTGTATTTCCATGCATTTCCCCCTCCCCCGTTTATCTCATGCAGGACACCACATTAATGTGGGTCTTATCAAATGACCTAACTCCTTTCCTGACAAAATAGGGCCATGTCAAGGTTGTTTATTATCTGGCGACTACCATAACTACTTAAAATAATATTAATGTTAAGCAAAAGTCCTATGTTTTTAATTTCCTTTATAGCTATAAATATAGTTGTTTTCATTGTTAGCAACAGTGGATGGAAACTAATCAAGGAGAGAGGCAACCTAGAATTATGGAGAAACTTCCCAACAGTGAGGACAGTTAATCAGTGGAACACCTTGCTTCAGAAGTTGTGGGTGCTTCATCACTGGAGGTTTTTAAGAAGAGACTGGACAACCATTTGTTTGAAATAGTATAGTGTCTCGTTGAGCAGGGGGGCTGGACTAGAAGACCTCCAGGGTCCCTTCCAGCTCTACTCTGATTAATTTGGTTTTTAAGGAGAATGTCAACTCCAAGGCCAGCTTCCAAATAAAACAATGAAGTGTTAGGAAACATCAAGTAAGGCTATCAAGTAATCCCATCTATTACTCCCTCACACAACATCTACTGCTTTCAGCTGGACCTTTGCTACGCCGCTTGTTGACCTGGATGGATTGATCTTTAGAAGTCTTCAAAGCCTAATGTCTACTTCTAGCATCACAAAATTGGAGGGATAGACAGTAGGTCTCCTTATTGTCCTTAGGACTATGCAGATCAGACTGGTATTGAACCATAGGACAGGTGTTGTTTTCTCATTGTGAATCCAGGAAGGGTGAAAGGTAGCCAATGGACAGTGGTCCCACTGATACCGTTTTATTTTTTACAATGCTGCCCTTGTATCTTCCAAACCGAATTAGGAACCATGAACTGAGATGTAGACAAACTTCTCCAGAACTTCCACAGTGCAGGATTTCAAGACTAGTTCTTCCTTGTTTTTCTTTTTCCTTCTGAGAAATTTCTCAGTGAGAACATTAACAGCAAGCACATTATTTGAAAGAGACCACCACAAAGTTCTCCAGGATGACATGCCTCCACTGCATCTCTGAATACAGGAGGAAAAGGGAAGACATTGTTCTCAGCAGAATAACCCTACGAGTTATTCAAGGATGTCTTCCTTTCCCATTTTGTCCTCCAACCTTATTACATTGATCTAACTGTACAGTTTTGTCCAACATGGTTTCTTTCAGAAACTATTGTCTTTAACCAGTATAATCCAATTTCATCTAGTGGTTTAGGGCACCAGGCTAGAAAGCGGGAAACTGAGTTCAAGTCCCACCTTAACTACGAAAGCCGATTGGGTGGTTTTGGGCCAGTCACACATTCTCAGTCCAGCTCACCTCACAAGGTTATTGATGTGGGGAAACTAGCAAGAAGAAGGTGTTTTGGATACGTCTGCCGTCTTGAGTTATTTGTAAAAATAATAAAGGAGGGACACAGATAAATAAATAAAAACCCTCAGCCGGCATATCAGAGGTACATCTGGAGGAATGGGCATTTTACTATGAGTAGTAAGACTGCAAGTATCTGCAGAGTGAAAGGTTTTAGAAGCTACACTCTACTGCAGAGAGGAAAAGCTGCCTAAGCAATTCTTTCCATTTTTAATCAAGTCTGTGCTCGTTTTACACACTCTCCTTCCCATCCCCATTTCAGTAATAAGAAATAGAAATCACCAATTCAATTGTGCATATTGCAACAAGCCATAATTTCATTAACTTTTTTAATTGAGCTCAGTTCAAGTTAATTGGTTCACACTATGTCTGAGCCATAAACCAAGCTTTTTAACCTCCAGTGGCTGCAGTTTGCACAACATGTTAAACCCACAAATAAGGAATCCTCGTTGGGGCTGAGAGCATTATGTACATTTATTGCATATTTGATAAAATTCCAAGGCTGAATGTGGAGAATGATACAAATGTGGCTTTCGTGGTGTTTACTGTATCTCCAAGTACAAACTTAGAAAAAGAAAAAACGAATAATCGTTCGTAACATGTAGTTTAAAATATCTCCTAAGTTGTTTTTGTATTTTACCTGCAGAATATCATTATTTACAAGACCAAGCCAGTTTCCTGCAAGGTGAATTATGTTGTAAAATAAATGAAACCCAACAAAAGAATCTAACAAGTTTGAATCTCTAGCATTGCATGCAATCGCTATTTCAAATTCCGAGTGAATTAAATTTAGTAAATTTCAACGAAATTTAGCCTCCAATAACATTTTTTAAAATGAAAATGATCATAAAATAAAGTAACTAATCTGGGTTTTCCAATCGAAGCTCTGATCAGTCGTTAAAACAGATGATGAAGTTCTTAATAATCGTTCTGCAAAATATTCATGTCCAGTCAATTCTATAGTGAGTAAAACAGCTTTTGTAACAAGCAAGAAAATTCATCTACGTGTTATGACCAAAATGCAATCTTTAAAATAGTACCCCTAGCCTGGAAAATACGTATGGTGTTTTAAAAAGCGGGCGGTGGGGGGATTATGGTGCCGAAGATGGAATTATTTGGGTAATTGATGCAAATGAAAAAGTTTTACAGAAATTACCCAATATGCTTGCAACCCCAATTGGCATCACAATTTCCATTGCTACACATGGCGATGGTTAAAAGAGTCGTGTCCAATTTTGCAACCTTTGTTTTGGTCACGGTTAAGTGAAGCACTGAAGTTAAGTGATTGGCACGGTTGTTAAGCACATCTGGCTTCCTCCGACTGACTGTACTTGTTGGAAGCCAACTGGGCAGGTCACAGGTGGGGATCACATGACCCCAGGATGCTGCAGCCGTCATAATTGCATGCCAGTTGCACAAGCTTACGAATTCTGATCACGGGACCATGGGGATGCTACACAACGGTCGTAAATCACTTTTTTCAGTGCCGTTGTAACTTCAAACAGTCACTAAAGGAATGTTTGTATGTTGAGGGCTGCATGTAGCTCCTTCCTCAAGTAGACACCACCCCCTCAAGATAAAGAACCAAAAAAACATCATGAACATTTTCATCTGAGGCCAACTCATTCCATCGCTTGTAGATAATAATGATAGTAGCAATAATGCCCAGGCTGGAATAATCTCCAAAGAGATCCAAGCTTGTCATAGAGAAAGAACTGTCCACATGCCCTATGTTTGGGATGCCAAGACAAAATTTTACAACCAGGTAATAGTGTCTCAGAACAGACCTTATTAGCCAACACTCAGATTTCAGGAGGAGAAGAGAAGCAGGAAGCAAACTGCAATAGCTTTTCAGCCAAAGTTTCTAAGACGCAAAACAAGCTTCGCCTCTCATTATGTTGTGGAAAACATAAATCAGGGAGTTTAAGAGATGCAGCTGCCAGGAACTATAATTCGTATATCTAGCGTCCCCTCATTTGCCAGGCAAGGAGGCATCTGCTGGAGGGAAAAATTCAGTTTCACTTGCTCCATTGCAGTCTGGCACTCTATAAATTATTGAGATTCTGTTATGCTTTTGGCTGGTTGATGAAAGGGGAATGCAGAATGCTAAATCATTGGTCATCTTAAATCCAGCAAGTGGCCAATCCCTGCATTTTGACCGAATACTGGTCATGTTCTCTTGCCTAGTATTTTTGGTGCGTTCACCTCATTTTTAAAAGCAACAAACACGAAGCTGAAATTCTTATAAAGCAGAATTGATACTTCTTATGCCTGGTAGATCTTGGGAGACCTAGATGTGAACTGTATTGATGGCATGTACTGCTAAATGTACAGTTCCGTCATTACAAAGGCGAACAGCGATGGTTTGCACTTGGTGCATTTCTCGCATTTACTTGGCAGATTTATAGGTTCTCCAATTCTGATTAGTTTTTTAAAAAATGCGATTAGATAACCTCATGATTAAAAAAAAAAACCCAACCCCAGAGAAATTACTCTGAAAGGCCTTGGTGAAAACAGGCACTGTTGTGCAACAAATGTGTTCTTTGTTTTTATTTGAAACAATCCTTGCAATGAATGAAGGACAGAACATTGAGTTCTGGGTACCCTCCAAATTATTTTTAGGACGGAATCTGGGGAATTCCTGAATAAGAGGTAAAATATCCACTGGGACTATGTGCTCCTACAGCTTTGCCATTCAGGAAAGCTCTATTTTCAGTTGGACTTTCTGAGAAACGATTGCTAATAGATTCAAATGTGCTCAGCATCATAAAAGCAGGAGCACTGAACAAAGCTAGATTTATATTCTGCGGATTATCTACCCATCTTTTTAGTGTTGCACATCGGCTCTCAGCCTGATCTCTCGGGCAAAGCACATTTCCTTGTGGACAGATATATTTCATTTGAGCTCACATTTCCCCCAATGTGCACATAGAGATCTCCTAATGTGAGGAGTTGGGGTTGTCTTTTTTTCTCACCATGGACCTTGAGAGAGTATTTTCCACCCTAGCCTTTTTTTTTTTTAGCTTTACATTTTCCTCGAGCATCCTTGTTTAGAACTGAAAAAGCTATACGACAATCATTCTTTTAAGCATTAGAATAGTTAGCTTAGAAGCTTGAAGCACATGTAGAAGGTGCTATGGGCTATCAGCTTGCCAAGCTTCCCAAAAGTATTAGGCCAATACACAAAAGTCCTGGAGATGAATAACTATTAATTTTGATGGCGGTGTGACTGCCCCTGAAGGCCATTGTTCTGAACAAGGCTTATTGAGACACTAACAAACACACATTAATCTCAAAACCCTTTTTTCTTTATTTCAACGGCTGTGAATTTTAGTCATTCACAGCCTGTAATGAGTTTCAAACAGTTTGTAAAGAGTCCCATGGAAGTCTGCCAGAGTCCTTCAGGATAAGCATGCACCTTTTTCTTCCTTGAAATGCTGCCAATTACTAAATTTCCAATTAGTTATTCAAGGCCAAACGGAGCACAAATTCAACACAGAACTTCAGGTTTCAAACCGAGCAGTATTAACAAAGTTGCTTCCTGCAAAGGTTCCTGTCCCTTTGCTCCTCCTTTATATCTTATGGGAGGGCCAATCACCTCCAAGCCTTACTCCCGAGTCACCCCTTTTGTCTTAACTGTTCTTGCCCTCTGGCAGCTCTGCTGCGCATACGCGCACTGGGAACAGGCTCCGTTTGTTCTTCTGCCTCGCTGTTGTCAGATTCTGGAGGCTCTGGAGTCAGCACATAACTCCCAGATGGCCCTGGCCCTATCTCTGTGTTGGACGCAGGACCTTTGTCCGAGTCTCCCCCAGACTCCCGGACAGGCCCATGTTCCTCCCCACTATCCGCCTTTGATGCCATCTCTGCAGGCTGCCTGAGGACCACAACAGCCTTCTGCTGAGAGGTTGGTGGCTTCCTCGTGTAGTTGGTTGGTCACTGTGAGAACAGACTGTTGGGGCAGATGGGCATGGCAGAGCCTTCCTTATGGTCTAACCTCAAGAGATTCTGACCCAGCCTATTATAATCCCATATAATAAGCCACTGACCTGGGATGGAGAGAACAACACTCCGTTGGCAGTTTCCCCCATTGGCTTCTATCAATTTCCTTGTCAAGAGTTAAATTCCACCTTTCCCACCAGAGCCAAGGGGGTGTGGGTAGCCCTTTCTCCTTTATATTGTCGCTTGCAACAGAAAACAGTAAAGTAGAGCTGACCCAGACTCCTTCCTGGTGGTCGACTGTGAAACCTGGTTTTGCTCAAAGCCCCCCCTCTTTGGAATTTGTAATGGCTGTTCCACCCTACTGACTCTTGGTTCTTCTCGCAGGTCCCCAGAATGGCTGGAACGACCCCCCTGCTCTGAGCAGAGCTGGAAAGAAGAAAAAGGTTAGTGTTCGGACCCAACCCCAGGTTCCCAAAGAGCAAACACAGACAAAGGCAGCAGCCCCCACCTTTTAAGGTTCAATAACAAATTCTGTTCCTTTACAGATAAAAGGCTGTTTTCCACTAATTAGCTCCGACAAGAAAGAGCCTTGCCAAGTCGTTTGTCAATGATGCTTAAAAAAACAGAGATAAGAACTAATTTACAAGATTTTCCAAACACGAACTAAGATGTCCACAAGCTGAGCTTCAGAGCTTCTTTGCCTTCTGCAAAGAATGCTTTTCCAAACCTGGCTTTTATCCTCTTGAGGGAGGGGCCATTACCCTGCAGCCTTACTCCCTAGTCGCCTGTGCTGCTGTAATTGCTCCTTCCTCCGAACAATCCTTTGCGCACATGCCCTTGGCACAGGCTCCTCGGGAACCTCCTCATCACTGCTGCCAGCCCCCACAATCTCTGAAGGCCGCAGTCCACTCCCTGATGGTCCTGGCCCCTCATCTGAGTCCTAGTTCTGCTCAGCCATCCGCACCTGCTGCCGGCTAACCACAACAGGTTAGCTACATAGGTGTGAACCCCAATAAAGACCAGTCTTCTCCTTCCCAGCATTATTCCCGTGCGATGGCAGGGTCCGCTTGTCGGCAAAGCCGTTTCCATTGGGATCCATCCAAGGGCGACGCCCACGTATTTCAGGCCCCCCCTGGAGGCAATCCATCCACCTTTTCTTGGGTCTGCCATGGGATCGCTGGCCTTCAGGAGGCAGACACATGGCTGTCCTTGCCACTGAGTCTTCTTGACCGCACCAGTACCAATCTGGCGGACAAATAATGCTCAGCCAGGGTTTAACCCTGCAGGATGGAGGGATGGAGCCCTTTTCAAACACAATGACTGCAAGCTTCCTCTTTTTTCCACCCCTTCCATCTACTCCTTTGGGAAAACAATACGTCAAAAATGTATTATTGCTTTAATGGAGTGATGGGGATTGTATTTTTTCTGTGTGGCCCAAAGCATCAAGTATTTGTTCAGAATGGCATGCAGGTTGGACCGTTCATGGCTTTTCACTGCTTTCCTAATGGGCAAAAGAGCAACTCTGGAAAATGTGAAATGCTGAGGCACATACACAGTCCTGCAAAAAAAAAAAAAAAAAAAGCCCACAGCAGAAGTGATAAACATGTCATTGTTTCCCCTTAAACAGTGGAAATATGCAACTTAATGTTGCAGGGATGCTGAAAACATTCTTACAGAATTGTGATTTGCGAATCGGACAGAATTAGAAAGTTACTAAAAATAAGTTAAGGAAAGTTAATAGTAACCACGTTTAATCTTAATTAAATAGAAATTCAATGGCACTGTCCTGTTCTTAACTGCAGTTTTTTTTTCTTTTTAAATGACAGCCCTGAATAAGGGCTGCCCCTAGGTCCAGAAAATGTTGTGGATCCCTAATTTAAAACATCATTTGGAAAAGAATGGCAAAGATAATAACATTTGAGTCATGTGAGATTGAGGGGAGGTGAGATGGGATTTTTGTTCAAATCCAAATTTTAGGGGTGTGATTTTATGATATGCAATGAAGAAAAATTTTAATGGCAGTTTTCATTGGAAACAGCTGCCTGTCTTTTTCTAGTCAATTGTCTTACATGTTTAAAAGGCATATTACCAAGTTTTTAATACTAAAGTTAATTTTCATGGATATTTTTAAACCAGTCAGCTGATACCACCTGCTAGGTTTTTTTAAAAAATTCAGGGTAATAAAATGAAGTCGTTCCCATAATTACTTCAACTGATAAATTCCAATATATATTTTTCTTGTTGCAATGTTTGACTCATCTATCTATCTATCTATCTATCTATCTATCTATCTATCTATCTATCTATCTATCTATCTATCTATCTCTATCTTTGTCTACTATCTATCTCTGTCATCTCTATCTCTCTATCTCTGTATACTATCTATCTATCTATCTATCTATCTATGTATCTATCTATCTATCTATCTATCTATCTATCTATCTATCTATAAAATTTATTTGCCCCCCTTATCTCATATCCAACAGCTCTGGATGTCTGACAACATTAAAACCTTGAAAAACGTGGCGCTGAATTTTAATTAATCAGCCGTTTTAATTAGCCAACCTTCATCACGTCCTTCCTTCCTTGTTTTCCTTGTAGGTGCCTGATACCTTCCTGCCTCCTGTTCCCATCACGGCCCCCATCATGACTCCTTTGTCAGACCCACAAGCTCAGCTGCAGCAGCCTCCCACTTCGGCCCCGCCTCTGACTCAGGTCCCCTTCCAGCCCTCCCACCTGCCTCCGGGCCAGCCAGGGTTACAGAACCCCTTCCAGAACGTTGCAGCGCCAGGGGTCCAGACAATCATGACTCCCGCCGTATCGGCATCTAGCATGGAAGGAGCACCAGGAGCTCCGATAGGAAACACAGTGCAGGTAAGCTGGTTTTGATAGGCTAGCAATTCAAGAGGTGCATGCATGCACAACTTTGTCCATGGTAGAGTCTTCTCCGGAACCTTTGGAAGAACTCCGGAGGCTGAAAACGCCATCGATGGGGAGAATGTCTGCTAAAGGAGGAATTGTGGAATAATGTCTGCAGGAAGGTCTTCAGGAAATTCCACCGGGGTGATTTCCTGTCAGGATTCCGGCAGTTACCCCAATTAAATCATGAGTCTTGAGCCAAACTTCCAAAACTCAAAAAGGATTTATTGGGAGTTAACATGTCCGGCACTGCCTGGGTGTAGCCGACTCTGAGACACAAAATTCATCGTCACCCTTGACCCTGGTTTTTCCCCACCCCCTGGGTGTATCATAATTCATATTCTCCAATGGGACACATCCATAGCCAAGAGTCATCAATCATGCTCTCCAGTTAGAATTTTGCACAGCAGAAACTTCAGTCACCTAGTTATTATCTTTGAAAACATTTATGGAATGCAGTTTTGGTTTGCAAGCGGCTGCACTGCTCCCCCCCCCCTTCCCGTTGGCAACTCTAAAAAGATCATAGAAATATTTTATGAGTTGCCATTCCCCTCCCCCTAGTCCCTCCCACTGAAGTTTGTCTGTGAAAAGAATTATGACATGAACTTTGTCCGTGATTGAACTTTGACTATGATATGAACTATGCTGAACCGATAGAAGAGAACATCTGTAGGATTGAACTGTGGGGCCCGTGGGGCTCTCTGAGCTTGGTTGTTTCCTCGCAGACATTTCATTACTACATTAGGTAACATCATCAGTGCTAGTAGGGCGTGGGGGGGGTTGCTCTCATTTTATATTGTAATGGCTTGTCCCTTGGCAAGAACTTCCAAAGGAGCTAACCATAAACAACAGCCCAGTCAAGAAACCACCAAGCCCACTCCCACCCACACTGACAAAATCAATTATTTCTTTCTCTCTCCAGCACATGCAATCCCTGCCCACGGAGAAGATCACAAAAAAGCCCATTCCTGAGGAACATCTTATCCTAAAGTCCACTTTTGAAGCTTTGATCCAGAGGTGTCTCTCTTCAGCTACAGATCCGGTACGTCTTTCACAGGACACGCCAGCTCTGCTATTTTTTTTTTTTTTGAAATGCATTTTACATTTACACAATCATACATCCGTAACTTGTGGCATCCATCATTAGGTGACAAGTCGCACCAGAGCTGATTTATTACACCTAGCACAGCTCTCCCCCTGTTTCATGTAATCAGGTTATCAGGGAAATTGCAGAAGTGCAGCTGCCGTGTGATTTATGCAGTGGGTCACAGAGGGAGCCTCTCCTCTGAGAAGCCCTGATGAAATTTAGGGCTTGCCAGCACCCTTGGGAAGCAAACAGTAATGCTATGCAAAATAGCCACTTACAGCTATGTCTAAAATGGGAAATAGATGACAGTCGTAGTCCTGTTAGCTCTCTGACTTACTAAGAGAACCCTTTTTTTTTCTTCTTTTCGCAAGAGAGAAACATTTAATCATTTTCTCCAATTCAGTTTGTGATAAGCGCTATAGTGCCTGCCATCCCCAGCTAAGATGGGAAGGGTTAGGAAATGATAGAAGCAATAGTAGGAACAAATAATGGGAAAGGTTGAGATGAGCATGACACCATCCTGGGACCTACAAGGAAATGCCAAGGGTTCCAGAAAAATTAGTGGGTTCTGTTCTGTTTGACAGGTCCATAGAGCCAGTGGAAGCTAGATAGAAGAGACATGAATTATTTGTTGACATTATGTCACGAACCACCTCTCGGTTCTTCTTTGGAGAGGATCCAGAATTGAGTATTCTCTTCTTCCTACTACGAGGATGCAAATCCAGAACTTAGATTCAGCCTGCATTAAGAAGCTTATTTTTCTTGATCCTGAGCCAGTTGTCCTTTGTAGCTTCTAGGCCAGGGGTGTCAAAACTGGTGGCCCTTGGGCCAGATGCATCACACGCAGGCCACGCCCACCCCAGCTCCATAAAGGGGGAAAACATCACAAACGTCACGTGACAGCAGTGGCGGGATTCACCCTTTGTTTACTACTGGTTCTATGAGTGTGATTTGCACGCACGCACAATGTTCATAAACCACCGAATTTAAGCTTCAAAACTGACCTTGTATTCAGTGCTCGTGAGTAAAACAGCTGAGGCACGGCAATCAGCTCTGCCCCACAAATCAGCTGAGCTCAAAAACAAGGAAATAAAGCACATTTAAGGGCAGGTGGGCAGGGCTAACTGCTCACCAGCACTACCCATTCGCTGGTACTGGTGCGAACCGGCAGCATATTAAAATATTTAAAATCCCAACACATGTGCCCCACATCCCCACCCGTTCCTGTTCTCCAAAGGGAGCAGCGAGATATTCAAAGATATGGCACCTCTGGAGGATGGCAAAGAGGACAAACTACACCAGATTTTAACATGGGCAAAAATCCTTAGATATTGCATTCAGTCTGAATGCAAGGTGTTCCCGGGGTAGAAATGGTTAAAGTGAAATTTCTTTTTTTTTTTTGTAATTTTTTTTGGTTTTTAAAGACAAACAAAAACAAACAAAATATAAAAACATCAAACTTTCTTCCATAAGCATACAAGCAGTGTGCCGGTTGGTTTACAATTTTTTTTTGGTGCATCCATTTCGTAGTCTTCAGTTACAGTTACATTGCATAATAGCTCATATTATCAATCAAAAATTGAATACCCTAGTATCATTATTAATCAATCATTTGTGAAATTTCAATCAATCAATCAAAGTGAAATTTCTAACTGCATTCCTTTCCCCATGGATGTAGACCTTGAAAACACCGGTAAATGCAACTGTGGCTTTCTGTCAGTGGAATAAGACAGTGTTTTAGTAATTTTCTGTTCTGCTTCCTCCCATAGCAAACCAAGAGGAAATTAGACGATGCCAACAAACGCCTGGAGTTACTGTATGATAAGCTTAGAGATCAGACGGTAAGCTTTATATATTGCCATGCGTATCTCTTGCATCCAGTGAATGACATTGCATTTTGTCGGCTAGAGCCCAGTGTTCAAGTGCGTCAAGATCAGGGGTGTCAAACTCAAGGCTCGCGGGCCGGATCTGGCCCGTGAGGTGCTTAAATCTTAAATTAAAAGGCCGGCCTGGAAATATCAAAAGACCAGCCTGTGGTGCTTCTGCCAGCCAAAATGGGCCATGGACAGGGTGTGTGCGCATGCGCACACATGCACACACGTCCCGTGGCCCATTTTCAGCCTCCAGGGCCTCCTGCAGCACTCTGCTGGCCGAAAACAGGCTGCACGTGTCAGGGTTCCAAGTAACGCCCCCAATGGAATCAAAACTTGAATAATTGTATATAGGAAAATATATATAGGTATATGTGATCTTGACTAAAAGTTACGTCAAACCAACTTCACCATGTTCAATGTTTTTAATTGTTATGTTCAGTAAAATATTAAAAAATAAAAAAGCCTCCAAAGCAGGCATTTTCCTCAAAGCTTGAATTTCTTAGAAATGTTGTATTGGCACATCGGGGAAAACCTGAATCGGAAAGGCCCCTGGGTTTTCCCCACCATAGTAAAGTCAAAGTTCCTTCCCCTGCATCCACATGGGCATCACATGGTCTGATCAGGTCACTGTCCCACCTGTAGTTGACTCCCAGGTATACACCCCACCCCCAGGTGCAGGCTGAATGTTCTTGACTCCCAAGGGAAAAAAATGTTGTTACGGCTATACATCCCACACTGTCTCCATCCACCCCACTCCTGTTCCCACAGCTTGCCCATCCACCGCTTGTGGCAGCCCTGAAGATCCAAATTTAAACATGGCCTCCAGGGCTGACAGTGCAGAGGCCTGCGTATGGCCCGTTTTTGGCCTCCAGGGCCGCCTGCAGCACTCTGCTGGCTGGAAATGTGTCGCACGGATGCCCCAGGAGGCCCCCACACGGCTTGTTCTTGGCCACCCAGGCCTCCACTCTGCACAGCCCATTTTCATCTGGCAGAGTTCTGCAGGAGGCCATGGAGGCCAAAAATGGGTCCCGCACTCCATTTTGGCTGTCAGGCTGCTGCAGGAGGCCATCCATCCCATCTCCTCCCCTGGCTGGCCCGCGGAGGACAACTACTATGCTGATCTGGCCCTCCAAAAAATCCAGTTTGACACCCCTGCGTTAGGGAAAGAGGATACAGCCACAGCCTTATAGAATAGGAATAGGAACGGAATAGAATAGAATAGAATAAGAGAAGAGAAGAGAAGAGAAGAGAAGAGAAGAGAACAAGAGGGATAGGATAGGATAGGATAGGATAGGATAGGATAGGATAGGATAGGATAGGATAGGATAGATAGAAAGAATAGATAGAATAGAAAATAGAATAGAAAAAAAGAATAGAATAATAGAATAGAATAGAGAATAGAATTAATAGAATAGAATAGAATAGAATAGAAAATAGAATAGAATAAGAGAATAGAATAGATAGAATAGAAAATAGAATAGATAGAATAGAAAATAGAATAGGATAGAATAGAATAGAAAATAGAACAGAATAGAAAATACAATAGAATAGAATAATAAAAGAAATGAAATGAAATAGAATAAAATAGAATACAATTAGAATAGAACAGAATAGAATAGAATTCTTTTTATTGGCCAAGTGTGATTGGACACAGAAGGAATTTGTCTTGGTGCAAATGCTCTCAGTGTACATAAAAGAAAAGATACATTCGTCAAGAGTCATAAGGTCCAACACTTAATGATCGTCATAGGGTACAACAGGCAATCGAATCATACTAGGAAACAGTCAATATAAATCGTCAGGATACAAGCGACAAAGTTACAGTCCTACAGTCACAGGTGGGAATTGTACTTGGCACGTGCAACTATCCTTACCTATCGGCAGCCGCTTTTTGTTAAAGCGCATTCAAAGGCTAACGTTCTAACGCAGCCATTTGGAGAGTCTTTCCTGTCCAAACAGATCCCTCAGTGGGGAAACAACCGTCGTGTTAAGGAGGGTTCTCATGTTTATTTTCCCCTTCCTTTTCCAGCTCTCTCCAATGATAATCAATGGTTTGCACAACATTGCCAGGAGCATTGAAACCCGGAACTACACCGAGGGGCTGAACATCCACACCCACATCGTCAGCACAAGCAACTTCAGCGAAATATCAGCGTTTATGCCGGTGCTGAAAGTCGTCCTCACTCAAGCCAACAAGCTTGGCGTCTAAAGCGGGCTTGGGTGGAAAGTCCTGGAGCTGTGGAAGGGTGCATGACGTGTTCCACATTCTGTCCCTTAGAGCATGATGTGGCAGAGAGAGCAGGTCACGGCTGTATCCCTGCCAGAGGAGCTTCATTTTAGAAGGGCTCATGAGCCCTGGTGCTTATTCCTTTCTCTCTTCTTTTATTACTCCTACCTACAGATACTGTATTTAATTATGCCACCCCCTCCATATCGTCCATTTTAAATGCATGGTCTCTGCTGCTTTGAAAGTGGCTTTTAAATACTGAAAGACAGAGGATGAGGCAGCCGTCATCAGAAAAAAAATTCCTTCCACAAGTCTCATTATCAACCTATTAAAAGTTCCAGATTCTATTTTATAAGTGTACTGACTTATTCTTTTAAGCATCCATTGTTGCTTCGGTTACAATCAGCTGAACTTTCAGTTTGTGTCTCAGTTTGGGTTTTCGGGGCCAAATGACTGCTTATTTAGGCACCAGGCTAGAAAAGCAGAAGACCCTGAGTTCTAGTCCGTCCTTAGCCTAAAAGCTTACAAGGTGACTTTGGGCCAATCACCAGAAGACCATGAGTTCTACTCCTGCCATGAAACTATGTGATCGGGCTTAGTTTTTTGGGAGGAAAATAAAGGGGGTGGGGGGTGAAATTCTGCCTCTGCCTACCAGCATCCATCAGCATTCATCTGGCTAGCATCCTGTCAGTGTGTGAGAAAGTTGAGAGCTGTTTGGAAACTGAAACAGTATTTGCTCTGTGAGCAAGGAGACAGCAAGGAACCTGGGCGTGGCTTAGCTCAACTGTTCTGTACTAAAAACTGCTTGCTGCTATGAAACTAAAACTGAAACTCCTCTGCTTGTATTTTGCAATTGGAACAGATTTCTTTTCAGGTGGGGAAGAGGGAGTAGAACTCCTTAGCATCAGAGTATGTTAATAATATAAGAAATACTAATGCTCTAGTGGTCATTTCGAAAAATTCTTTTTTAATCAGCACCTAGAAGCGAAGAGGAACATACATGCCAAATTTCAAGTTTGTAAGCTTTACGGCTCTAGAGATTTTGTGTTGATGCTATATATACAGATTTATATTCCCAAGATCAAACTTACAAACATTAACATATATATAGTGGTTTAGGGAGGGGGAAAAAGCATATAAATAAATTACATAAAAGCCAAAGACAATGTGAAGAAAATACAAGCTGATTCCTTTAAGCTAAACCTAGATAAAAACGTTGCCATCGACCTTGAAACATTTAGGAATTGATCCCTTGAAAAGAAAGCAATGAACTCTTCACCATAAGGGAAATTATACTTGGGTTCTTTAATTGCCGTTCTGTATAAAGTCCATGATATTAATAAATCATAGATAGATTCAATCTGTCTGAACACATAGAAATTGTCTGGGATCTTAAGCGACATAATACGTCTTCACGAACCCCAAAGAGATGCAGCCTCATTCTAATTGTGTTAACAACACTAAAAGTTGTTTGAGGGATGCATGCAGGGTCATAAAAATGTGCCCTCATATAGAAATCCAGAAGTATCCATGGTACTTCATTTTGGGGGGGAAATTGTGCAGGCTTTTTTACATGTCAAAAAGAGGTTTCATCTCTGTTTAAATTCCCATGGCTTGCCAGACAGTTTCAAATCTCTACTTAACTACTGCAACCCAAAGAATGAAAATCCTCCACATATTGTCATCTCATTTCTAGGTGGATTTAAACCAAAAAGCTTTCATGGCTTAAAAAAACTTATCCCCCCCCCCCCAAGCTATATTTGGTAGTTCATCGGTTCAAGGAGTTTATTTAGGTTTCAAGAGCACACATTTTTTTTGAATGCATGATTTATAACAATGATTCCAAGAATCTGCAGGGTTCAGAGCTGAACTGTCGGGATTATGAAATAATTTCAGGGAAATCACCAAATTAACCCAACAATTGCAACAACAGGCTAGTGAGAAGTTTTCTTATCTAGCATGGGGAGTCATTCCTAGACTATGGAAAGAACCTCCTTGAGAGCTGAATTTGTGCTTTATTCTATTAGAAAGTCTGTAAAATGCATCTCTTCCGCTGGGGTTTTCAGGGGTTTAAAATTGATTCCAAAATAACTTTTGGAAAAGGTGTTTTGGGTTTTTTTTTTTTTTTTTGCTTTATTTAACCAATATTAGTCACCTGAGTACTCATTTAAAGAGAAAAGTGGATTAAAATTGATTTAAAAAATAAAGGACAAGTCACTAAAAATTCTTTTGACGCAGCCTAATAAAACCTCAGCAAGAAGCAGTGCGAAAATAGCTGTTCCTACTGTAAAGATGGGGATTGAATGGCACCCAGATCGTACAAACTGATGCAGAGAGTTCTATATTTCCCCTGTATGCATCAGGAACCAAATTCCTTTTTAGCTGTGTTGAAAAGACTTGCTGTTCCCCCTCCTCTTTTTCATGGGCTTAAAGCACTTGAAGTCAGAAATTATGATACAATTTTTAGCTGAAGATTGCTGCTAAAAATTCAATTGCTCTGAAGGCCACACCTTGATCCACCAGTGATGGACAACTTCCAGGTACTATGTAATGCGTCCCCTCTGCCCAGAACAACCAACCTTAAGAGAAAACCTTCCTCATTCATCCAGCACATATTCCTTTCCATTCTGCAGCAAAAACAAGGGAAGATAAGTGTTATGGAAAGGGGAGTGGGGGGAAGCACTAAGTGCTTTATGGAGACAAAAAAGGGGGAGGGGAAACCATGGGACGTGGAAGAGACAAGGAGAAGAGAGAAGCGGCGAGAGAAGGAGGAAAAAATAAGCCTGATCAAAGAATTTAGAAGGTTAATCTGACGAGGCGAAGAGTTCCCCATACGGAATCTACCATAGAGCGTTCCAGTTTTTAGCAGCATGTATGCAGCCATTTGTATTGTTTTCCTCGTGCCTTTTCTTTCAGGTGCTGTGTGTTCTTACCAGCTTGTTTTTTCCTCCCTTCCTCCCATTTTCTACCCCTATAATTATTTGGGGCAACAGATAATCCGATTAAGCAAAAAATAATGATAGTAGATCCTTCATGATTTTGAAGAAGAGCAATTCAGGCAGCACTCACGACAAGGGGCGCCTTGCCTGGCCTCTCCTCGCCTCAAAGAGATACAATTTCCCTGTCTATTTATTTACTACTACTGAACATCCAAAATACACTATTTAATCCTATATATATATGCCATATGTGTACATACATATTACATAGTATAGAGTGTGTATAGGCACACAAAAAGATACATTATCTACTATATATACTATACTGTATATATACTGTATATACACACACAAACACACATACACACAGCTCTTCTAAAACTATACACATTCAACTTCACTGTGTTTGGAAAAACACACCCAGAGTCCACTTTCTGCCACACATTTAATGATAACTTCTGTAGATTAGAACATTACCCACACCTTCAGATGTTCTTCCCTAGCCTGCACATGACTGTTAGTGCCAGGAGATGTCATGGATTGAGTAAATGTGGTGAATCTCACTTAACAGCACTCTTGCTTAGCAACCAAAATTTTGGGCTCAATTGTGGTCATAAGTCAAGGACTATCTCTGCCTTCCTCTGCACGGCAGCCTTATCCTAGGAAACTCCATCTCCTTTCTGGCAATTTTCCTCTTAGAGACACCAAAATAACCCAGACTATATAAGGTTTCCTGCTTGAGCAGGGGGTTGGACTAGATGGCCTCCAAGGTCCCTTCTAGCCCTAGATTGCTGTGATATTTCACCACAGAGAAGCCTCATCGCACTTACAAGGAGACATCCTGTTTGATTTGGTTTGGCAAGATTCTGTCTATTGGTGAGAAACAATAAATAAGTGAGTGAGTGAATGAATGAATGAATGAATGAATGAATGAATGAATGAATGAATGCATATACACATAAACAAACAAACAAACCTGCTTGGAAGAATCACAAAATGATTTTCTCGGTCTTTGTCGCCTGCCAAGGATACTTATACATTATGCCAGGTTGGGAAAAACTTTGGTTGAATATCATCTTGTATCAATTCAGTAATTAGAGATGATCTAAATTGATTAACATCTCGAGATCCACAAGCATCAGCACATAATGCGAAGAGATCCAAGCTTACCTTGCCATTTAGCGAGGCAGATTTTATCTTCGAAAGGATGTACGGGTAGTCCTGGACTTACAACAGCTTGTTTAGTGACCGTTCAAAGATACAATGGCACTGAAAGAAGTGACTTATGAGTCCATTTCTCACACTGATGATCCTTGCAGCATTCCTTACGGTCATGTGATTTACATTTGGATTGCTTGACAACAGCTTCATATTTATGACAGTTGTCCCCATCTATCTTACGACTGACCTTGTATGATTCTAGCCAATGGTGGGATTAATTTTTTTTTTACTACTGGTTCTGTTCGCGTGGCTTGGTGGGCATGGCAGGGGAAGGATACAGTAAAATCCCCCTTCCCTCCCCACCCCACTAACCTGCTTTCCAGCTCCGTTCTCCTGTGCAGGGCAACAAAAGAAGACCCAGCCGATCAGCTGGGACTCGGGAGGCAGAGAACAGATGGGGGTGGAGCCAGTCAGAGGTGGTATTTGCCGGTTCTCCAAACTACTCAAAATTTCCACTACCAGTTCTCCAGAACTGGTCAGAACATGCTAAATACCACCTCTGGTTCTAGCTAAGTTCTGTGTCCTGCCCATAAGAAAACTGTTTGGAGAATTACATTCTCTGTATCTTTTTTTAATGCCAACCTTCCTCACAGATTTATTGACTAGGCAGCATCTCTTTCTCCCCATATTCACCTTAACCTTAGTGTCTGATAAAATATTAACAACTCGAAAACTTTGTCTGCATAATGCATTGGCTATAGAGCAGTAACCACCTCAAAATTATGCGGGGTTTCCCTCAGAAGGTGCTTATTGTATGCTGTTCTCTAAATAGGTACATTTCAGCTGAACTTTATTCCAGACTGGTATCTTCCAGGTCCTCGACTTACAACCATGATTGAGTCCAAAATTTCTCTTGTTAAGTGAGACCGTTGTTAGCAAGAACACCAGCACTTAGACTTATATACCACTTCACAGTGTGTTACAGCCCTCTCTAAGCAGTTTACAGAGTCAGCCTCTTGCCCCCAACAATCTGGGTTCTCATTTTACCCACCTGGGAAAGATGGAAGGCTGTCAACCTCGAGCCTGGCGAGATTCGAGCTGCCAAATTGCAAGCAACCGGCAGTCAGCAGAAGTAGCCTGCAGTACTGCATTCTAACCACTGCACCATCATGGCTCTTTGCCCCATTTTGCAATCTCTCTTGACACTGTTTTTACATGCATCACTGCAGTTATTAAATTGTAGTGAT